CATGCAATGAATTTCCAGCAGTTACTATGAGCTTACAAAGTACAAGATTTGGACGTAACTGTGCTTGAAAGAGAGTAAATCCGGCCTAGTAGGTGAAACCTTCCGACAGAAAAAAATGGCACAAAAAGCAAAAAAGGCGTGGGATCTGGGGATAAGAAAAAAGAAAAGCGAGTGGTTAACACAACAACTTAGTCCATAATGATTTATTTTTATTTTTCGGTGTTTTTCTCGGAGATCAAAGCCCAGCAGCGCGGCGAAAGCGCATCATTTGTTATTTTCCTATTATAACAATGAAACCCTTTTTCCTTTAGAAATGCAACTCGATCGAGCAAAATGACATTTTCGCATAGCGCTTGAATGGCTCCTTGAAGCCCCATCAAAACCTCGACCTGTCGACAATCAGTTTTGTGAGCGGTCCATTTTTCATGCATCCTGGACAGGAAACGGGCGTCGGTAATTCGGATCCGGGTTTCCGGGTTAGGAAGGACAAGTTCGTGCGTGCCGCTCAAATTATTCAAATACTCCTGGAAACCGCCATCAATGTCTGGTGCATCTGATTTGCCTGATTTTCGTTTCAGTCTTCGAACCGTGCAATTTTCTGGAAATAAATCAAATCAGATCGCTCAATTTCGCTGAACAATTGCCGATTATTCGCAGGTGATCCGAACGTCGAAAGACGTCATTGCGATATTACCTATGGAAATCATTCATTATTCCTACAAAAAACCGCGCCTTAATATTCAATAATCAATTAATATTAACATAGAACACCAGGCAACAGAATGGCGCTGTTTTCTCCTCCGGATCGAAGGGCCAAAAAGTCGATCTACGCAGTATCGGGTGTCTAATTTAGCAACAAACTGAATGTCGAAACACTGAATAACTATGCTCAAGCACATTTTAATTACTTATCGCATTAGTTATTAAAATAAAAAATCGCTGTGACCTCTTAAGCGGCAAAAACCGTGAATATCCAGCCTCAGGCCGGGGTCGAAAGAAATCAGATTTAGATGTTGAGTCCCCAAAACCAGTCCGAGAATCGTGTTGAACCAAAAGTCACGCACAAAGCACGTAAATACCTAGCAGGAAGAATAGCAGAAATTCGATTTGTGCAACGTGCCTTATATGAAATCGTTCGTAATGAGATAACGACAAAGATGTGCAGAAGCGCTCACTGAAAGTGTTCGAATCTGTTTTATTGAAAAGTTAACATTGACGAGAACAGAAAGGTGAGTGGGGCTAAAGACGAATTAATCGAATTATCATATGTGTGATAAGTGGTTGATTTTGAGGAATTTCCTGCGATAACAACGATTAATCAAATTTACCGAGTTCCGCAGCCAGTTGTAAGACTGCCCTTTGCAAGCAACGCTGGCCATGCTTCCGATGCTCTTCTTCAGACATTCGAATGAAGGCTTCTCTCGTTTGTTGGCACGCCAACCTCAGAAACGACTGCCTCAAAAAACCACTTCCTCCATGCTTCTGCCACAAAACCTTCCCTTTTTGGCTAACAGGAAAGTTTCCGAACCACTGCCTGCCAGCGTCTTCTTTGGCCAAAAGCATTCGATGATAGCAACAGGGCATCATCACCAAAGCTTCTGCAATGCTCAAATGCATAAACAACCTCTGAACTTCCACACTGAGATCTGCACAAGCATGCAAGCCGGTGAGACACGCCTTTGTTCTCCCATTAAAGTGCCGCACTATCAGGTGGTTCAATTGAGGCGCGGATGAAGCGTCTACAAAAAGCTCCTCAAAAACAACCTCCCCGATGCTTTGAGGATGGCGTTTGGCCTGATTTGATTGGGCAGTTTCCACCAGCTTTCGCGATGCTTCTAATCCCAGTACCGCGTATCCATATTTGGAGTGAAGCAGCTGAGATAGATGGCCCTGAAATCAAACATTCCAGGTGTCCAAAAATTTAAACTTGTCGCTTACAATTCCACAGCCGACGTCCACAATCAAATCGCAATCAGTTTTCCGGCAAATTTCGTCAATTACCGGGGCCAAAAGCGCGATTTCGTGCGACTTTTTTCGGCTTATGCCCGCATTTTGCGCTAGAAGTCGCTCTTGGGTTCGATTTTGCTGCTGCAAATGCGGGTTGAGAGCATTCAGATCGCTGATAAAGGCTTGCAGGTCCGGTGGAGCGGGTTTCTAAAATAGAATAATTTTGAAGCCCAGTGAAGTTTTTTGAATAACAACCCTTGGCACCTTAAGAGCGCCCGTTACGAGATGGTGCAGTTCATCAGTGGTCAGCTGAGTGAAATAGTCCTTCCATTCTGAAGGAAAATTGTCCAGTACATTTCTGGTTAGAATTTCGGTGTTTTTGAAATTGAACATCCACTGATATTTGCGCAAAAACTCAAAGGCTTCTTCCAGGTATTCATCCTCAGTACAACGACCAGCGGACATTTGAGGCGAGCTGAAAATTTGCCTATGCTAGAAAGGTCTAATAAACCACATTCTAGAATGAAGAAGACACACCGTTTGCCGAAGACTTGGTAATCGACTCAGAAGTTTTCCGTCCTGAAACCACGAAAAATTATTCGCTTCCGTCTAGAAAGAAACCCCCGTTAAACTCTGAGTAATGAAATACATTTTTCGAACGCTTGGTAATCGACTCAGAAGATATTTTTCTGATCGCTCCTCGGGGTTTTCATCATTTCTCTCTCAGTCAGTCACTACTTTTCCACTAGACAACAAAGAAAATCGATGCTGTTTCAAAAGGCGCCTAAAATCGTTTAAAAACACAAATTAACAGCCTTTTCACTGGCCTTGAAATAAATTAAACGGAAAAATCCTTAGCTTAAATCGACAGAGAATAAATGGGGGAAAACAATGGCACTTTGCGCAACATTTACAAACAAATTTTTAGATAAGTTCTATATTGTTGAGGCGGATTCTTTTTTTTACAAACTTCTGTTTGGGTATTTCGCCTCAAAAATTTTTATGTTTAAAAAAGACAGAATTTCCTCACGTCTTTTATTACAGATTGATAAATAGTGCTCCTATTTCGCAATAAAAACGAATTATTTATCAAAAAGTAA